ATGCTCTTATGTATAGCGGGTCATCTGTGAGCGTCTACTAGACTTCGTAGGCACAGCGTGTAACTGTACTTGATGTTCGCGTCTAGTGATCGCTCTTGACGGTCCTCGCTTACACCACTAAGTTGTAGTAACCATACATACAGATGTCATGTCATGGAATTGATTTTTCCAATGACAAAAATGGCCCGCCCAGAACCGAAGTTCCAAGCGGGCCAAGTCCATCTCAGACGGTATCTTGTATAGGTCAGTAATGCTGGATCTCGTAAGCCTTTATATATAAGGCATGTTATTCCAATCACAGCAATAGACCTTGTCTGTTTAGTCTTAGCGGCACCATCACTACCTAAGGGGTATGCCGGGGAATCGAAATTCCCTTTGACAAAAATGGCCCAACCAGGACGTACGTCCCAGCTGGGCCAAACCACCTTAGGTTTGTGATAGCCAAGAGCTTATGTTGGTTTTCGCAGATCTCGACAAAGTCGGATCCAATGATGTTCGACCAACCATGCTCTTATGTATAGCGGGTCATCTGTGAACGTCTACTAGACTTCGTAAGCACAGCGTGTAGCTGCGCTTGGTGTTCGCGTCTAGTGATCGCTCTTGACGATCCTCGCTTATACCGCTAAGTTGTATTAACCGTACATACAGATGGCCTGTCGTGGAATCGAAATTCCCGCTGACAAAAATGGCCCGCCCAGAACCGAAGTTCCAAGCGGGCCAAGTCCATCTCAGACGGTATGTTTAACAGGTCAGACATGCTGGACCTTGCAACCTTGGTGCACTCAAGGCGCGTTGTCCAGATTTATCTGCCTGCACTCTTATGTAGGGTAGGTTAGTAGTTTCCTGGGCCGTGGCCCATGACGGGGTGATCAGATACGTAGTTATCGTGTTCCCGGTAGTTATTCATGCCTACGTCTGTCAACTACCCGCTGTTGACTACTTCGCACTCCCGGGCTAGAACATAGATCAGCTGTGGCTGCCATTCCCAGTAGCCTAGTTCTAGGCTTTCCTGAGATACTGATCAACCTTGCATGTCTTGCCCTAGCCGGGCCCCTCATTTCGTTGCTTTCATGGCGCCTGGTAAAAATTATTTTTTTTCTAAATATTATTTAAAAAAATATGCCCCAAGGAGACCACCCTCAGTCTCCAAGGGCTGCGGCCTTAACCGCTTTGATACCAGGCTGTACACCATTACTAACAACTAATTTATTGCTTTTTATCATCATTTTTAACAGCAGCATTTTTCTTCGATTTTTTCTTCTTTGGTCCGGAATCTTCTGAGGTCGTGCGGCGCTTCTCTTTTTCAAGCGTCGCAATTCTGTCCTCCAACGCCTTGATCGCTTCGGCGCTCGACTTGGGTCTCCCCTCCTCCATCAACTTTTCCATAGCGGATTTGGGGAATGACGCCATTCCATTCCTGAAAGAAGATTAATTAGTTTTTATTATTACTTTACTACTAAGGGACTCACACTATACGGACCACCCTGAGAAACTTCGAGTTATCCACATAGATAATATCCCTCTTTTCCGCCATTATCTGAAATATATCTAGTTAGCCCATTGCTAGAATCCCTATTGGCTTCAATCGTACGCGAACGAAAACGAACAATATCGGATCGATAGGCCACGCTTTCGCGGTCTGTACTCGCACTGAAAATCAAGATCAAGCGAGCTTTTGCTCTTTTGCTCTACGAGAGGATTCCGTCCTCTCTGAGCTAGCCTTAGGACACCTG